TGCTCGAAATAAGACAAGAGAAAATGTAAACAGTGACATCAAACCGCAATAAATTTCGGCCAACCACCACAATTTGCTATTTGCGGAACTAACAAGCTCCTATTACTTGAATAGTTTTTACAGCCGCTTAATTCGCTACGCGAAATGATGAATTACGCCAGACTAAAAAAATTATCAATTACTTTGTGATGCTCAACATAAACAATTATCAACAAGGACGGTTTATCGAGAGTTTGTTTTAATTTGTTTTTCGCAGGAAATGCGAGCGCAGCAATTGTAATTAATTTTTGCGATATGTAAAATGAGTTATCCGGAATTAAACGAAACTTAATTATGAAAATAAATAATCGGAGGCATTATCATAATTATACTAGTGACCTTAATGGAATATAATTTATAACAGCGATTTAGTGTGCAAGTTTTTGAGCTTTTTTAATTTGTAAATGATTGTACGCACCGCGGCATGGCCTTAATAAATCTCATACTATACAACAAATTTAATCTTATTGTTTAATTATTATTACTGTAATTAGTACGGTCATTAGTTCTTTGAATTTTCTAAATTTATATCTCATGCTTCATTTACTCTTGTTATTTATCATTTTTTCTTCTTATCTACCAACGTTTTTCTTATATGTAGTATAAATATGATCGGTTAGTTTATATTCCGCAAAGATTTATAATAACGGAAGTCTGTACACAAAAACCTGAAATAAAAACATTTCAAGAAAAATGTGGCACGTGTTGGACAGGTCGGAAAAGTTAAATAACATATGCCACTACTGAAACCCACTATCCCTAAATATATTGCATTTGTCGCTTTCATATTACATTCGTACATGTGAGACCGAATTTTATTGTTGGTTCCTTCGTGATATTTCCACATTTGTTTCACAAAGAAAACAAATAGACCATGATTAAATAATGCGGTAGAAAATAAAGATTGACATGTAGATTGATGAAAGCAGTTACCAAATTGCTGGAAAAAGAGATTAAATTTCAGTGAATATATTTTTGGAACACTACCCAGGTTTCTTTTTCGTTGTAATCGAGAAGTATATGACCTGTTGGTTTTAATAACCATGGAACGACGCACTCAGTTAATGATTTCACTATTCAAGGGTGTGAAAATCTTTTGAGGGCAAAGAATATTCCAGTTCAACACTTTCATGTTAAATTAACTTTGAGTTAAATTATAAACATTATTCATGCAATATCACAACATAAAAAGTTTATTTAGTATTAAAACAATCTTTTATTCGCCCATTATCCATTTATTATTGTATATTACACACTTTATCACAAAAAACTTCTTGGAAAAATAACATCTCTTTAATTTAGAAAAAATTGTAATAATGTCTAAAGGGGGCACTCTTGCTAAAATTCCGATGTTTAATTGTTTACAATTGGCTCAAGTATTTTTCAATATGATTTTTGTTAAATATTTTCTGAATCAACTCTACAACAATGTATACATAATCTATCATCAAATAAACAAGCCGTGTCGGTTAATTCTGGATTTGTCGTGTCCCACAGTCCTTGAAAATTGTTTATAACGTGTTCTAATTAAATTTGCAAAATTGAATTTTTTGTCGTTTGTGATTCAAAATTTGTGCTGTTTTCCACTCGGTGAGCTAACATAAAAGATGTTTACATGTTGTTAGTAAGCTGTTTAATTTACGTTCTTTTGGAGATGTATGTGTACATGTCAGGGACGAAAATATTCTCAAGTTGTTTCCTTGAGTTAAAATTATATCGACGTTTCTTATTTTCCTTGCATTTGCATTTGGGTTAATTAGAGAATTGTGCAAAAAGCGGACGTTATTGTTTCATGCTTAAAATCAAAACGGTCAATATTACACACACAAAAATAATCCTCATTCGCTCATAAGCACTTGACATCGTTTCGAGAGATTACCATCGATTCGTTCAACATTTCACAATTTAATCCGCAGAAATGATCATATCTCTGGATAGATCCGGAGTGTTTCGACTGGGAGTCCCGAGTGCGATGTGGAATTAATTAGGACGAGGACATTACGTTGATCAATCACAACCGAAAAAAGGCGAAAAACGCGTTTTTTTGCATGATATCGTGGAATGTATATAAGAGTAATTAAGTGACTACACGGCATTATATTCGGATATCTTCCTAGAGGAAGCTAAATCCTTATTAACGACGCCGCTCAAAAGCTCAGGAGGATTAAGGGGTGCGGATCCCCGTCGTTGATTTTTGAACAAACAAGTGTGACAATTTTCGTTTTGTTTCCGGGGGTGACTAACCCAACAAAGACCAATAAAACCGTTCCTAATTAAATTTTCTTGGCACGTTTGAAGTCTAAGATAATTCGAGCTGATAACCGACCAACAAGAATTTTCTTTTAATTGCAATTGGCCGCTCAGATCAACATCTTTTTAATCCATTCGCAAGATCTTGGACGTTTTCGTAATGAATTCCAAGATTAACATTTTTCCACTTGCTATTCAGGAAGTACAGCAATTGTGTATCAAGCAGCGTGCTCGGCAAGCCAATTTTTTAAACTGTGTGCTTTTATTTGCATCTTCAATGTTAATGGCAATAAATATTGTTTGTGCAAATTTCCTTTGTTACTATGTGCTTATATTTACCAATTATCACAACGTTGATATAGTAATGTGGGCATATGACGCAAATGCAAGTAATTATAGATTTTGTTTTTGCATTTGTGTGTTTTTTACAATTTCACAACCCATAGTTTCATTTCTTTATCGAAGAAATTGTTGTACCTTTAGTCATTCAAAAATTGTTCAATTAACCTTTATTATAGTTGTCCAAATTGCACATGATGCAAGTTATAGTTGGTAATAGGGCCTATCAGAAATTCAAACATACTGAAACTGTCCAGTCATCGTTTTGTCCCACTTTATTCAAAGGGCGCACTCGATGGAATATTTCGCATTTGGTGGCATGTTTTTCAGAAAATTAGACAACAAAAAACGGCAATTTACACCCCTTTCTTAAAAATGTGATTTAATTATAGCCACGTTTTAGTATGTTTTTGTTAAACCGTGGTTGACTTTGATCAAACTATTAACAGATTTCTATTTTGTTTCAGGTATGATTTTTATCGTGGTGTTGGTAAGTAAGGAAAATGTATGTTGTCGAGGATCGATGGGAGAAAAAAGGGAAATTAGATCATTGCAACCAACTTATCTCATTACTTCTAGTTAAACATCTCGTTTCTGACTTTGTCGTTTAATTTCCTGTTTAACCCTTTATCTTAAAGGCCTCATCCGACGACAAAAATGTGCAGTGAGTTGGCCATTTTGATTACAACATTCTTTAAATATAATATTTTGATTAAATTACATTGTTTTTTTTAGTTATTGCACCACATGAGGTGTTTGTAGTCGAATTGTTGGCTCTAGACGTAATAATTTATAGCCTTCATTACTAGTACTTCGTGAAAGTTGATCATTAATCAATATTTATAAAGGAATAAGACACGCAGTGTCGCATTTTGAAAATAATAACAATAAAGAGGATGAGTCAGTGTCGACGAAATTGGCCCTTAAAATGATCTCATAACGATGTTTAAGGAGGCTCCTTAATTTGTTATTTATTATAAGAATTTTATTAGCGTTTAATACCCTTTCTCGTTACCGACGAGTTTATACCAGAAATTGTGCTCGGAGTTGCTGCTGCAGGCGTCCAATTTTTTATTTATCGGAGATTTAAATGTCCACAGCACGTGTCGCATAACTCGAATTAATCGGATTGTAGTACGACTTGTTAATTGTGTGCATAGAAAGAGCACGAATTAGTTGGCTTAATCTGACTTGTTGATTTGATTGTGTTTTTATATCTATACCTATAAATAGTTAAATAAACAAGCTCCGAGTTTAGAGATCTCATAAAATAGGAAGTTGGCAGAGCTGGTCGTTTTTAGATTTCAGAAACGATGATTTCCCGACAGAATTATGAATATGTTCTTTGCAAAATATTGCACACAATTCCGCATTTATTTTGATAGAATTTTGGAACAGAAAGCGATACACGCGCCGTTCTCAAAACTATTTTCTTTGTTTCGTAAACAATGTATAATTATATCAAACTTACATCTAGACAAAACAAGAGATGAGTAAGATGGTCCTTTCATTAGAACTTAAATGGACAACTCAGCGATTTCATTTTTATTAATTTAAGGTAAAGCTAAAACTAACTAAACACATCGAAAAGTAACTGATCATAAAAAATTTAAAACATAATAAAAATTCTTAATAACCTATGGTTTAATTACAAAAAATAAAGATTTGACGGTTATAAATGTAGCCATTTTAAGAACAATAGCACTTAGAATTTAGTTGTGTAGCATTTTTTATGTTTTTCTTGTTTTAATTAAAGCTTGCAGAGCTTTGAACGCCAAATAATTTTTTTATCTAATTTTTTTATGACAAATATGAAACAAGATTGTCTTCTTTATTTATGATTTTTAAAGTTTAAACCACAATCCGCCATAAATTTATGGCTGTGGTTTAAATATAAATGTTTCTTAAAAGTTCCTTATCCTTGTTTAGTTGAAAGTAAAAGACTAATTGAGCATTTTCATTGATAATTTAAGCAGGTATAGGTAATTTTTGTATATTATATTACATAACTGTGTAATCGTATTGTATTTTTTGGTGATCAAATGATAGTATTCTGTTATGGCTACAAATAGCAACACATAAACAAATTCATCTTTTCATGAGTTTATTCTCAGCTAATTGCTGTCTTGCTGGTCTGCGAATTTTATTCGAACAAATATTTTAAAAATATTACAGATGTAGAATTAATATTTTCAATGATTTAAGCTTGCATTGAACATTGAACATAAAATGCTCATTTAAGCAAAAATCTGTTATTTTAGCTACATAAATTATTATTACATATTGAAAATTTTATTATTACGATCGACTATAGGTAATACCTGATTTAATGTTAAAAAATCATTAATCTCCACCAACAGGCCTATATATAAGTTTTGAAATACCACTTGCCTCATTCGAATTTACAAAATGAAGATACTCATAGTGGTGGTGATATGGTCCTGTGTTTTATATAATGTGACAGGTCTTCGAGGTTTATCGAATATTCGTTTTGAAAAACCCCACGACCTTCGAAGTAAGATCTTTTTTAATTGTTAAAAAAATTAAGAAAATTAATTACTTTAGGACCTGGTGGATGTTATCACGACGACTTTGGTCATGTAATACCTTCAATAAAAACACAACGACAAGGAAAATGTGAACTTATTACATGTGAGCCCGATGGAACCCTTCTTATTAAAAGGTTACAAATTGTAAAGTTTTATATTTTATTAATTTTAATTTTTTAGCTGTCATTATTTTATAAGTGAAAGTAAATATTGCGTGAGTAGAGCGCAAGACCCGAAGAAGTACTGGCCACATTGCTGTGCCCGCTTATGTACTAAAGATAACCATTAATTGAGTAATAAAAATTCTGTCACACGAGAAATCTTTTTTTTATTTATTTACTTTTTGATTGATTTTGGTTTCAAAAAATGACTTATTGATCAACAAATTGCTTGAAAAGTTGTCTCTATTAACCCGAAATTTGATTGAGTACAATGGGTGATTGATGGTGATTCTCCTCATCCATTAGAAGAGTAATGCCCACAGTTTCGAAATGTAATGACTGTTGGAGTGGTGCTGTTCGATTTGATGATGTTTATTTAAAGGCCTCTCGTACGTTGTACATGTTTATGAAATTCTGAAGGGGCGTAAAAACATCGCAGGAATTGGTCGATGGACCATGAACTGCCTGTTTATGTCACTGCCGCTGACGACAGTCTACATCTGTTCTGTTTATGTAACATCCTTGGCAGATGATTCTGTTTATGCCGATTTGAAAGATTCGATTTGTTATTGATCGCCGAAAGATTGCGTCCTTTCATACCACAACGAATTCTAGAGCAAGAGATTCAAAAAGTTGAATAATGGACATGGCGCAGAATTTAAAGATGCTTGAGTAGAGGCCAAGACATATGCAAAAACATTTTAAATCTTTCATTTTGAATGAGATACAAATTTGTTGAAAGTTCAAGGATTCCCAGGAATCTGGGTGAACTGTTACTATAAAATTCATTTGGGTCTGGCAACTTTACTTTGAAATTTTTTGCAAGGCAGTTTTATTCCGACCTCACTTAGTGCTTTACTAAAAATATGGGCTCGCAACAAAGGTAAAAAAGAAATTAATTTAGCAAAGCAAAAGAAATTACTTTTTATTTTTATCTACTATTATCTTTATTTAGGACCTCACTGATTCTCTGATGAATTAAACTGCAAATTTTTCTATCTGTGATTAATAGCTTAAACATCCCTAAACTCCTTTATTTACTGTATTCATCTCAGTTTGAGCAAATAGAACAATTTGTAGAATTTACATATTTGAGTAATAGCCCTGTTCTCTAACTTTAAAGATTTTGTTAAGTCTACATGGCGATTCAGATAAGATAATGAGCTTGACGATCTGGCGATACAACCCAAAAAACAAATTTCATTTACGCCTTCGATTCAATTTAAATTAGGATTTGCAAGTTGAATCCAAGTTATCATCTTATGTCACTCTAACATCAGCGCAGAAAACGATCATTGGTGCCATTCAGTTTTCGCGGAATGATAGAGAAATTAGAGAAGTCTTTTCGGTGTAAACYCAATACAAAATGTATGAAAGAATTAAACATTAAAGGTAGACAAACAATTTTTTTTTTATAAATCATACGTAWAATGCACTGTCAGAGCAACATAAGATAACTACTTGGATTGCAAATGCAAATCGTATTTAAAATTAGATCAAGAAGTAAATGAAATTTGTTTTTTGGGTTGCATCGCCAGAACGTCAGGCTCATATCTTATCTGAATCACCCTGAATGTGGAAATGACAGGCAATGTCCAATCATACGTTCCTATATTTACAATAAATTTTTAGAAGACAATTTATTTTTAAATGCACCAAAATAACATCATTTTTAATACAATTTCTTATTTTTTTAACTTTGACTTATTCTTAAATCACATACACTTTGGCTACAACAGTGGCTAATAATTATTACCTTATGCTACAGAGTAAATCATAATTATGGCATCCAATTTATTATTTTAATATTTGTAATATGTTCATAAATTTAAGGATGAAAGAAAAAAACAAATCACATTTGTTGAAAACGATTTTTAGTTTTATCTGACCTTGTCCCAATAATTTTGGTTAAAAAAACATTCTTAATATTAACAATTCCAAAAGTTTTTTATCTGTTACACTATTTCTCCACTCTTCTATACCAGATCAATCTTCAATTTAAGACCTTAAGCACGCTGTATTTTTAATAATGTCAGACAAATTAATTTATGTAAGTGAAAAAACAGGAGATATTGTTCGAAAATGTGCCTCACATAGCAAAAGTATTGGATGTGGAGTAACAAACTTTGATCCGAGAGGATATTTCAAGTATTACATTATGCAAATCAGGACTAGATAATATCATAAACTGTCTTAAACTGATTATAAATTTAGATTATACAATTTGTAAAATATAACCCTGAAAATTACATAAATTCAGATAAAACTGTAGAACTTTGAAAATTGCTGTTCATACTGAATGAATCATTAGGAACTGTTTTTATTTTTATGGTTCAAAGGTAAGTTTCGAAATTTATTTAGATGCAGGACCACCCAAATTGTAAACTACATACAATAATATAATTTTTTCAGTAAAAGCAGGAGAGTGTTTGAATTTACCTTCAAAATATGAAATTTATTTAAAATTATTCATATATGGATACAATTATGGACACTAAATTACTCGATTTATCTCTACTATAAATTTAGTTATTTTGAAACTGTTTTCATGTTTTAGTCAAAGAACTTGCAAATTGTGTTACACAGAAGTCAAGATTGTTTACTTTACTCTTAAAACCAGACGAAAAATTGCGATAGTTAATCTCGTAAAACAATGAATTCGCGAATCTTCTAAGTCCCAAAAACACATTTAATTAGCACCCACGTGATTACTGTATTTTTTCTAAGATTAAAACTTGTCGATCATTGAATTTTAATGTCGAGTAAACAGTGAAAAAAGGATTTAACTACTTCAAAAACCGATACTTTGCTGCCTGTTTTCTATCACGGGATTTGTTTTCTATGAAGCTTAAACTTCTTAATAAAATTTTGTTTACCATCCGAGAAACAAAACAGAAAAAAACCGTTCAATAAAGCGAAACGTCAAGAAATTCATTGATGCAATAAACGTAAAGTGTATTTTTAAAGCTTTTGAATTAATTTTACAAAAAAAGTAATTTATTTTCGCGAATGATGTCCTTCAAGTTCGAAATTGTTTTTTAATTTCAAAAATTGATGTGATTATCTAATTGGCCTCTTATTTTATAAATTCACGATTTGTTTTCATTCAACGGCCAAAATGTAAATCGACGGTTTAAAATGAAATTTTATTACTAGCCTTGACCAGGAGAAGCAAATTTGACAAGTGTTCCTAAAAATATTTTTGCAAACACGTGTTAAGTGACGTCATGCTTGTCCCATATGCAAATTAGTCGCTATCCAATATATTTATTTTTATTGTTACACTAGGAGTTATGTACAATATAAGCATATATTTAAATAAATTAATTTAGTTGATTTTTTTCGCTGACTTGCACAGCAGGTAGATTGACATTGTTGGATTAGTTTTCTCCAATAAATCTCGCTGCACTTTCTTCGGAATTATTTTTGCTTTTCCACCGTTTCGAAGCCACAACTCTAATAAGGATGTGATAAGAAAGTAGCCAATTTTACAAAAATCCATAAACCTCTCGACCTTACCCTAATTATTGCTGTGATTTTATCTAAATCCTCAGAACCACCTACAATCACTAAATTTTGTCATTTGGTTGTGTTTTGGGAGTCCTGAGTGGGTATCTCAGGGTCTCTCAGGTTGTAATAATGCTTATAAAATTCTTCGGTCTCTCTAATCACAAAAATTCTAAAATTACACATTCCAGGCATCATTTTGACGGATTATTGCAAGAATAAGGCGAAATTCTGTCTTCAAATTATGAAGCTCTTGTTTACGTCGATAACTGACGTGTTATTTCTAGTAATAAAAATGGAAATTTTCTGATTAAACAATGCTGGTGGGCGTGCAATGAACGTTAATTCATATATCTATTTATTAATGATACTCATTAAAATTTATGGTGAAAATTATGTATCACGATCAGTTGTTCTCCGAACACAGTTTTGGGTTTTTAACAGATCGAAATTATTCATGAGAAATTATTTTGTAACGTTTCCGGCAATCTTCGCACGTGGATATTATCCATCATTTCGAATTGTTACTAAAACTATTAGACAGTTAACAAATGGCCGGACCTTGATTTATTATTAGAGCTTTTAACACGACTGCAGTAGCCAATTCGGTACATTTTTGTCCTATAAAAATAAAATAAAAATGTTAATCTCGATTTCCAGCACTTTACGTGTTATAAATCTATCATTTTTTAAAATTATTGCCCCTGTTTCGTGTCCGGAATCAGATCTTGGAGTAAACTAAGATAACAATAATTTCAGATGTTGCAACCATAATGACCCCTAGCTCTGCTAATCTGCGGGACACCTATATTTTACGTGATTAATGTTGTCGATAACGGTACCCAACAAATCGGACTTTTATGGCTCATTTTATACCCACACGAGTGTTTTTAGTGAAAATCCAATTATTTTTTCCAAATACCCTCATAATAAACGTGTTTTATCGGCCAATACCTCGAATAGCGACCGGAAGATCAGGACGTTAGGTTTAAATTTTTATTATAAATACTTGAAGTTATTTTGCAACCTTTAATTTTAATTAATAAGTTCAAAAATGACGGTGAGTCGATATTTTCACCCAGTGCAAAGATTTAAATTGCGAGTGAGTTTAATTAGGAGAAACATGGAAAAAAAACTCCATTATCTGCGAGCTTATGCAAACATTTTGAAATTTTGTTCTTGGGTTGTTTCGAATTGGAATGAATTTAACGAGGCGATATCGCAAATAGGCTTGTCCAAGTCACGAGCTAATTATTGCCTTTAAACGGTGCGAACATAAACACATAATTTTGATAAAAAAAATTGTATAAATATTTTAGTGTTTGTTATTGTTCCGAGTCATAATTTTACAGTTCTGTTTACTACATTCCTTATTTTAAGTGTATTTCTTGCGTTTGTAATTATTTCGTTACTTGTTTACTGATCGGCAAATGGAAATTTTAATTAAAATTCTAATTGCCCGCGTTTTTATTCCATACAATAAACATTTGAAAGGGTTTTTACGTTATTTTTATTTAACTGTCCAAGTTAAAATAATAATGAGATAGTTCAATTATAAATTGATCGTTCTTTCAGTGAAGGAAAGCCACGCTGTTAAGTTTACATTCCATTTCCTTGGTATAGTTGGTAATAAAGACAGCGGTTAAAATTT